ATTTGTTGAATTTTAGGTTTATTACTATTAAAATTTCGATCGACCTAATACAGTGAAACGGTCAACTCATGTACACGAATTCAGTTCATTAAATTTAATAATCCAAGAGTTACCTTTAATTTAAATTATTAATCCCCAAAATTCAAAGTGTATTATATCTAGTCAATGATATTTTACTGAAAAACTTTAGAAAAATATATACGAAATTGCTGTTAAATTAATAATACTATTTGCTATTCAAAATTGTATAAAAAAAAATCAATAAAATTAATCATCATCATCAATTCAACCGTTAACTGTTCATTGAACAACATAAACCTCTCCCATAGGTTATCATAAGGAACGGTCCTGAGTCACCTCCATCCACCGACTCCCTGCATGCTTTTCAAACCATCGCTTCTTCTAGCGAGGAGTCATCCTACACAGCATTTGCCTGTCAGGGCCCTACTCGAGAATCTTTTTTCTCTACGGGTTATCGGTTCTTCGAGATATGTGACCAGCCCGTTGCCACTTCAGCTTATTTATCATTTCAGCTATATCAATCTCGCCGGTTTTTCTGCGGATATCCTCATTTCGGATTATATTATGCAAAGAAACTCCGAGCATAGCTCTCTTCATGGCTCGTTGAGTAACTTGTAGCTTTTGATCATATTATCATATTGAATATTAATAATACATATGATTATGCTGGTAATGATGACGGACGAGGTCTAAGATGACGTGTGTTTTTTGTATTAGATTAAATCATGCAAGATTTCAGATGTTTGAAAATAATAGGTTTTTTTAGACTACACATAATGTATAATATTTATTTACTTATTTATTTAAACTCAATGCACAATTGTATAAGTGTATAAGTAAGGCAAGCAGAAAATTAAGTTGACAATAGTTGACGAACCATAACGCTAATGATCAGAAAATCAGATAAGACAGATAAAGCATAAGAAAAGAATAAAGGCAAAAAAAAGTTATTTAAAAAAATATGTGTTTAATGCTTAAGCAATAAACTTTATTAACTATATCAGTAACAAAGAAAAAATAAACGGATATACTCCAAAACACATAAGTATGATTCTATATTTAAAATACAAGATGAATTATTAAGACCAGATTACAATAATTGGTCGGATTAAACATCGAACAAAGGACTTTAATTGCGGTGAAGCAATGTTCAATACTTTAGGGAGGATGGCAAACTAGTTCTAATTTCACAATTTGCATAGCACCGTCTCTGTAGATATAAACCGTGTTCGTCTACTTACGTATACCTACAATTATTGGATAAAGTTTATCCAAAATTAAATAACACAAAGGAAAATGTTTATGCAAATAGACTTAGCAATCCGTTTTATATGGAATCAAAAAAGTTTTTACGCAAACGTTTTAAACAGTTTAGATATATTTACAAATTTATATGATCAAATTCAAATCATCTTTGTTCAAATAGAATTGTTTAAAAGCACTTTTAAATTGTCATTTTTGATGTATCTACTGTAGGGTTCGGAAAGTTGTTATCTGCTGAGAAAAACTCATAAGAAACTTTATTGTTAGTCCATCAGTCTGTACTAATATTTTACATTAGAAAGGATTGTTAAGTAAAACTAAATATAAAAGAGGTAAATCATCAAGATTATATCATCATTCTTGTTACGTTTACAAAATAGATATGAATTGCCAACGCAAGGGTATTCATTTTGGCATACGAGTATCTCTTTTTTCATCAAATTTAAAACAAAAGTTTAAATCTATTATTAGATATTACTGCAAATTATTTTTGGAAGTATTAATGTAAATTTGAATTAAGTAAAATGATAATGGAATAATTAAAAGTTAACGAGTTGTTTCTAGTTAAAAATAATTAATATTTACATAATATGAAATATAAAAAATTATTATTCTTTTATTTTTTTATGACAAAATGACCTAAGAAAATAGCTATTAACAGCTTAAAAAAAACAATTAGAGAAATGTGAACTAAAAGTTTAATAATAATTTGTCATTGTTAGAATCTATAGTTTTAGACAAATACTTAATATGTTCATAACAATACTAAATAATAAAGATAAAAGTTCTAACTTAATCAAATAATGTCCCAAACTTGTCCGAGATGTGACAAAGATAAACATAATTCAATTAGTGATACTAAAAAAGGAACGTGACAATTACAAAAGCGTGAACATGAGCATTCCCATGCTAGTGTTTTAGTACAATATACAATATATTATTAGTACAATATATTTTAAGACACACTAATTATGAACCTTGTTATTGTTTTATTGTTAAAAATTTCGTAAGCACATATTATATTTTAATGTAACAACTACCGGTTTAACTTACGTGTAATTAGATCGAAAAAACTCGACAAGTTTCGAAATCAATTCGTGATCCTCAATCATGAGTGACTGTGACTTGTTATTATTGATCGAATGGAAAAATATTCTGTTAATAACGATTATTACAGGATGGCAGCATATAATCATTATATGAACAACAAATAACAATATCTACTGCACGCAACAAACATTACAAAGTTATACATATATAAAAAAACCCATGAGATATTCTTAATGGTTTTTACACGTACGTAATAGCTGATAATATGTAGGTATTGTTAACGGTAATATATTACATACTCGAACAATTATCGTTTTATGTTTGCTTTATTTTTTTTTTTTTTTTATCGAAATCATCATAATTCTGTAAACGATTATATTTTTCAAGTATATGTTAGTCGATATTTTTAACTATTTGAGACACGAATTTTAATGGTAAATCTATTAAAACTGATTTATGTAGTATATACCTACAGGAAAAAGTCGGAAAATTTAGTACTCTTCATTTGGTATATATTGGTTAGTTAATAATATTAAATAAAAGATCTTATAAATAGTCCATACAAAAGAAAATTCAAGAAAGATACAGATGGCTCAGGTTCTTTCCTTATGGAAATCCATGGGGAGGTCTAAGTTAAGCAGTGGATAAATAATGGCAGAGACGATGAAAGGAGCATTATATATTATTATTGAAAATAATTAGGTAAATACATTAAAATAAAATTCTTGTAATAATAAAGTAAGAATAGAGTATATCATTAGTCTTTGTAATTCCTAAAATGTTGTAAGACAACAATGTGCATAAACACCAGTGTAAGAAAGGAAACCTCGAAATTAATAAAGTAAGAATAGAGTATATCATTAGTCTTTGTAATTCCTAAAATGTTGTAAGACAACAAAGTGCATAATACCAGTGTAAGAAAGGAAACCTCGAAATAAGACTATACTAGATACCAAATATATTATTGTAATAAAATAAATAAGCTGGCAATTGATCGATCGATTTGACTTAACTGAACAGTCTTATATTAATTTCTATTCAACAAAAATACCTATAAGATCTACCAGCAACTCGTTAAGTATAATCGAAAAAGAATAATAGTTTAATATTTCTGGTAAAACAAAACTGAGTTTAGTTAGGAAGAAATGAAACATAATGATGATTAGTTAAAAAAAAACTTTTATTCCGTTCATACGCCGCTAAATAAATAATTTGTTACTTTGATTTTTTCTCATGAATAAATTATATTAAGAATAGTTCAAAAGTTTCTTTCATAGAGCGTAAGTCTTGTAATTTTGAAACTTTCATAGAAGTTAAACATCATAAATATTTCATATATTAATTTTGTTTATTCAAATTCAAAATAAAACCGTTTATAAACCATTTATAAATAATTCTGTCCTTAAATATTTTTCTTATGAGTAAATCTTCAAGATTAGTAGTATTTTTAAAGTTTCTTTTTTTAATAAAATAAATTAGAAAAAAATATAGAAATGATAAATAATGTATGATAAACATAATTTATAATTTTAGTATATTGAAATAATATTTTAAAATAAATTTACGAAACCTAAAATTTTAATTTAAAAAATGAACTATTTAATAAAAATACCAGTCTGAACTTAATCTTCTAGCTAATGTATTTAAAGAAAACTTGGATCCTGGTCCACTTTTCACAGATTTGTTTTAATTGATATCGAAAATCAAAAACTATCTTGATTAAAGCAGTTGTCCAATAAAAAAACATTGACCATCTGTTTGAGAGTTACGATAGCATTGATACAGAAACAAATACAGTGGCTGTTTATTTATTCCCCCATCTGAGACTTCAAAGACTTCAATCTTATAATATCTTTTTTGCGTCTAGAGTCACTTAGCTTATTACTAAGTATGCCCTGTATGCCATTAAAAAATAACAACATTTATAAATATGTTTATTTTCATTAATATTAAAGTTCTATGAAGAAATATTTTTAAAATCATATTTATAATAATATAATATCGGTAACTTGATTATTTTTTGTTTACATTTTATCACCTATGTAATAATTTATTGCTTACGATTTTGGTTACCTAAAAATTATAGTTCTTATTTAATTTGGTTAATTCGACATACGTACATAGTTCAAATGAAATAAATACACAGTTCATCTAATTTTCGATACATAAAGTATTTGCAATGTTGATAATGAATGGTATATCATACCAATTTTCCGTAAAATCGGTTCAGCTTTTTTTACACGATGCTCTAAAACCATAAAATACTAAGTCAATTTCCTACTCAACCATTAATATATTTAAGAATTAATTACAAGATATTTTTGTAAAATAAAATAATTAGAATCCAACAATATTATTATGAATAAAATTATAATACTTTTTATTTTATTCAACACATTTTAAATTAAATATAAAGTTATTTTCATAATATTAAAAATAAGTTAAAACAATAATAAGTCGGAGGGATTTTGTCCATTATTAAAAATATTAAACATAAGTGATTAACAACCAGCACACCGGCGTTCAACTTAAAAAAGGCATATTATTATGGAAGTTAACCGAAAGAAGGTCAGAACGATGTAACACAACGGTCGTACCAATCGAACCGTATCGAAAGGTCCCTCGCCCCTTACGTACAATTTAACCCTTAAAACATTAGAACTTACCGTTAAAACAGCTGAACATCCACAGTAACGTGGTGCATAGGTGCGTGATAAGCACACGCTTGACTTCCCACCGCCGCACCATCTCACCGGTATCATCGAAACAACATCCCACTAAACCAATTTATAAACCACCCCTCTGAGGACACTTATTATCAGCGATCTACAGAATTTCACCCTGAGGCTATTATCGAGTGACGTAACATAAAGTTCCCTCATTTGCGTATCGAGAGACGTCCGCTCGCGACGACGCGTCCCGTACAACTGAACTCCACTGCACGAGGGTAAAGGCTTTTGGGGGTCGCGACGGGAGGGGTATCAACTGTTTTGTGTCCTCACACAGCTATTTCCCTCCAGAGTGGGGACCACGTGCCGTGTTTAGTCAATTTTCGACTGAATGGCCGCTAGGGTTATTTGTATTTTTATTGTTGTCGTTAAACGAAACATCATTAGAAGCTATGGTAGTACCCTGTTGATTGCCTACTTCTGTTAATACATGTATAATTGAAGTGCCGTAAACCATTTTTAATTTGAGTTCGCTTTTATCGTGTCCTCTTACTTCCGATTAATTTTCGTCAAATATAATGAATATTCCCGTTTTTTAGTAAATGAATTGAGGACTCGATAAGATCTGTGTTTTCATGTTTAGCTCTAAGGATAATTGACTCTTTTGCAACCAACTTAAAAAAAGGTTGATTTTTTTATATTTGTTACCTCATAAGCTCGTCAGTTATAAATCGATTTAGAAACTTCCTTATTCTTAACTGAAAGAATATACTTACAGATAGGTCTCATAGAATTTTTATTAAAACCGTTCAATACTTTAGTTTTTTAATCAAAATAACTGGTTTTGTCGCAAATGAGATTTTTGTTTTTTTTTTTTTTTGTAAAACAATCTCATTTATTTTTAACATAAGGAGCAAACGAGCCATATGCTTGTTTGCTCCCTACCCTACCCTACCGATTTGATAGTAAGTGTTTACCGCCACCTAAAGGTACCTGCAACATCAGAGAAATTGCAAATGTGTTGGCGGCTTTTTACGAAAGAATATGCTCTATACATGAAGGTCGACGCCCTTTATTTTAATCTTTACTCCTCCTCAGATAGAAATAAAAGAAAAACATAGGAAACACTGTGTCGATTTTATAACGATAACGTCTTCAAATACCGCGAAACTCGTATTAAAGTTGTCGGCGATGTGCGAACTTTGCTCGATCTGATGCTGGCCCCGTCCCGATATCGGGAGTTTTAGCTGAAAGTCAACTGGTAACCGGAATGGTACTATAAGGTTTTACTACGCGATTTGTGAACTTCTATCAGTACATAAAAGTGTGACACGATTTACATAAGTTACAACTTAACCCACTGTTGTTTTGTTTATTTTTGATATTTTACTTTTTATCTTCTATTGAAATAGTACGTATTCCTTTAAAACCCTGAAGGGAGTGATATCAACTTATGGTTTCTATCGAAGCTTGTCGTATATTTTATATAAATTTAATCTAATCTACTATGATTTCACACTTACTTGATTTATTCTAATATACATATTATATAAAAAATTAAAAATATATTTTTTTATGTAATTTAGAATGTCAAACTTAATGTAATTTAAAATGGTAGTTAAAATGTAATTAACTTAAAATGGAATTTAAAATGGTAGTATTTATCGCTTATATTGGTAGTATTTACTCTGTAGCTCATGATACTGTTCATGTGTTGCCATTCTTAAAAACTGAGGTATTATGCTTCTGTACCTTGTAATTTTATTATCATAGTCTATACTTACTTAATATTTTTTTTATAATGATCTAATTTTTATAAATAGTTATTTTTGTACAATTATAATCACTATTACTTTACTTGCTGTTATATTCGTCGTATTTTTTTTATTCTGAATAAATTTTGTACATACACATAAATACACATTTATACGCTTAAATGAATTTAAAACTTTGAAACTAAAAATAATACTAACAAAAACCATTCGATTTTTCAAAAATAGTTTTAAGAAATTATATGTAGGTATTATTTATAATAATTTGTATTTTTTTTATGGGTGAAAATGGAATGGCAACCCCGCCTGCGCTAACGGGATACGCTGGCGGAGCACCAATGAAGAGTGATAGATGAGAATGAAAACAGGTAAGTTAGCCCATCATGATGAATTAATTAGGAATTAACCATGATAGTTTCCAGGGAGGACCGCGACCTGGTTGAGTATATTGCTAGCAATGGGATTCTCAGTCTCCATTACTAACAATCCCTTTCCTCCCAATAATTTGCTATTAATAAAATTTAAAAGTATCTAATCATAATACCTAATAATGAATGTAGTTGCAAAATCTATTTACAGAGTATATATTGTACTTGCCAAATATTTACCACAACCGACAAAACTCTATACATTCTGGCCGATATTGGCACGCATCGTGCTGAACTAGTAAAATACATTTAATTTCCCAAACAGTGACCAATTAATTGCAAGTGGTTCCAAATTTACACTAGTGGCAACAATTTTATTGTAATACTTTAACAAAAAACAGATGTTGGAATTTAAAAGGTACTATGGAATTGTATTTGTGCTATTATTGTGTGTCTATAAGATAGCAAATCTGTGATGTCATTGCATGGCTTACGTTAAATAACAGCGCTATGGCAGTAAATAAACTGCCATAATGTGATGTCGAGTCCTGGCTACGTTAGTAACTAATTGTTACAAATTAATATTGTTTTTTTCTTTTTGTTTTATAAATTAATTACATATTAAATTGTAAATAATTAAGAAAATTATAATGATTGTTAAAGTTATAAATTTAGCTTTGAAACGAAAATGAAACCTTGCCTTATACAAAACAATACGCCCTCAATACACTGTTTCTGTGTACACCACATTCACGCAACACTACACACACAAATAACACACAATTTTACACTAATTATTGTTGAACTTCCAGTGATGTGACATGTCGAATAAGTATCTCCATACATTTTTTTTTTCATTTAATAGCATCTACCCGCCAAAAATAAACATAATATTGTTTGGTATATAAATTGGGAATCTGCAATTGGTGAATGTATAGTGTAAATATTTTTGCATTATTATTGCATATGCATTATTTTTAAAACTGGATAAGTAATTTTTTAAACTCTAATATTAATATTTATAAATCTATGTTTAATTTAAGATTTATTCAAATACGTGTAGAATGCACGCGGCCGACACAAAAATCCAATTTCATTACACAAAGTTTACGGTCAAATTTAGCAAATATCATCCACTAATCCGGTCCCTACGAAGTTCTGTAAGCAAAAACTTCACAAATTGAGTCCGATCTAGTTTAGCTTCGTTTACATTAGTGGTCCAGGGACACCGCCCGAGATATATGTGACGTCCATGTATTTGTCTAAAATATGGGCGACCCTATTAGGTAATAGGCAATAAAATGTTTCCGCGTAATGTAACCGCAATAACTTTCGGCGGTGACGCGACAGTTTAATAGAGTTTTTGATTGCAAAAGAATTGATATGACCACTGCTTTTTTTATAAGTATGATACCTTTTTTTTAACTTTATTTAACTTTATCATTCAAGAGTTCAATTACCCTTGGAAATTTATGAGCCATATTCGACTACTGGGAATGTATTTTCATATAATTTTCATGATATAGTTAATGATCATAAATATTAATGTGTACTATTTTTATGCTGCAAAACAAGGTTAATCGTCATTTATATACTTTCTATGGTGAATTTTGGCTGGTTTAAGTAATTCTATTGCTAATAATTTTATTAACGTTCTCATAAATTAGGTACTGTAATAAATTTACCATGAATTATTGAAATATGAATTAATGTAATGAATTTGTTATAAAATAAACGTAAGGGTGGGTAATATATAACCGTATCTATACTTATCTAATTTACGTTCGTAAAGAATAAACGACTGGTATGAGCGACATCGCAATGGATGGTCATTAATGTATAAAAGAACTCAATATATAGAACTCAATATATCTGATATTACCCATTTGTAGTTGGTCGTATTCATGGACCATATCGTCTCTGTATTCGCTCAGAATGATATGTATGCATGTTCTGAATATGTCACGAGTATACCAGTATGTATGAGTTTACCAGAGATAGACTTTGTACAAAAGTCGTTTGCTTGGGCACCTCTGTCTCAATCATGTTTCTACTGTGAAGCAGTTATGTTTGCATGGCTGTGTTTCGGTTTGAAGGGTGGGAGATGACAGTGAATTTACCGGGTACAGAGGAATAACACCTGAGTCCTTAGGAATGGCAACACATGGGAGGTGTCATGGGTGAAACAGTATACTTTGTTACGTTCAAGGTACTGCTCATGTCTATAGGCGACGGTTACTACTTTTCATCAGATTGGCTGTCAGCTTGTTTGCCATTCTAAGTTGCACAAAAAAAATTATGTAATACTGAATGGTAAACAAGCTGACGAACTATCTAGTGAAAACTGGTAAACATCATTGTTGTACCTTTACTGTCCGTAAAGCACTAATATGAGTAATATCAGACTAATCAATAGCAGAAAAGTGGCCCCTTTTGTAAGGAAGCCATTTCAATTAATTACACATGATATAATTGCTTGTACATCAATTATGACAATGTATGAGGATTACCACAGGATAATTAAAATGGATGTGTCTGTGTGTATACTGTGAATTATCCACTAAGTGAATAGTAATATTTTATTTACTGTATTTTGGTAATGAAATAAATTATTAAGAGACAGTGAAGATATTTTAAGATTGTGTTTCACATAAAGGACTTCAAATAATTTAATAGTTTTTGATAAAATTTATATGTGATCAATCTGAAAGTATATTATGTATTTAAGATATAACAAAAATTTCGTATCAGTTTAATATAACTGATGGAATTATGAGGTTACAAATATAAAACAAAAAAACATCTAATACTATCTTCTTTTTCTTTAATTGGATAAAACAACAATTTGTTTGCACATGCATTACACATTACACACATAAATGTGCATTTTGCACATTTATGTATGTATACACATAAATGTACATAAATAACAAATTGTTGTGTTTTAACCAATATTTTTTTTTTAATTTTAGTATGTTTATATATCAATTAATACAAGTACCGCATTCCAGCATTCTATCACTTCCATAAAGGTTTTTTATTAATGGGTGATAATGGAATGGTGACCCCACCCGCGCTATCGGTATACACCGGTGGTGCACCAGTGAGGGATGACAGACGAGGATTAATTCAGGTCAGATA